GCTCGGCTGCAATCTGAGGATGTCAACTGGCCTCACGTGACCAAACCACCAGTTAATTAATTGCACGCTTGTGAATATATGTTCCACTACTGTTATCCTACGCTAGTGTTGTAGCTAACACAAGCTCCCCTAACAGACTCACGTTATTGATTCTATTATCTGATTATACTCCGATCACGTGTGATGCTTTCTCTCTCAATTATACCTTGATGTGAATCACACCCCATCCTCTCTTGTTCCCTAACGTTCCCAGGAGAAAACACCAACTCCACACATGTTCCGGTTTTGTATTGTTCTAGTTATGGCTGCACTAAATACGGGCTATTGTACAATTAAATCTTGACATACAGAATATGGTCAAGGGCTGGGGTCGGCTTCCTTGTATGACCAAGTAACTGAACACAAAACTTGTTCTGACTAGAAAGCTCAACGATGGAAAATAAAAAGACTTGCACAATTACAACGGATGGTTGGGACCAGTGTTCTTCAAGCCATGGGCCGCGGCCCAATGGTGGGCCGTGTTAAGTCACAGTGAACCACACACACAAACAAATCTGCCTAATCATGTAACAAGAAACGAATACCCAGTTATAGAGCTGTCCCACTGTTGGTCATTTTTTCGACTTTCTATCTGTGTGAAAAGGCTTCCTCATACATGTCATAATAAAAAGCGAAATAGAGATTCCCATGGATTTTATTGCAGCACCTCGTTTCCAAGAAACAACGGTCTAGCCATGAGTATAAAATTGTATAACCTCTATGTAGCTGAGGCTGTCACATTAGCCTAAAACTGTAATTTTTTTTACATGGAATTTAGCAAATAAAACAGCCATCTACATGTCTTGTTTGTTTGTGTGTTTGGTTAGATGTCGGATGGGCTGCGAAATAATTGCTCAGGGTCTGGAGGGCTATGAGCGTAAACAGGTTGAGAAACACTGGTTTGGACTTGCTTAACACACTAGAAGCTCAATATGTTATAGGAAATATGTAATATAAGAAACTATAGACTTGAACAGTAATTGTGAAAAGAAACATTCAAGAAGGAGCTTACTTCCCTGTTCGAGCGGTGACCCTTCTAGTTATATTTTGTTTTGTGTTTAGCCAACATCATCATTTTCATAATCATAACATCATCAACGATTTAAACGTTTTTTGTTTAGAAACGTGGGGAGGAACAGTTTACGATCCATTTCTTGAACAGAAACATACACTACATATGCATGCATATAACACAAACATTCACACACAAAAACGATTCACACAAAAAACAACACAAACATACACAGCATAGACATACAGACAACACAAGTGTACACTAGGAACACAGATTCACACAACAAACAAACCTACATACAACACAAACATAAACAAAACTCACATTTACAACACACACAGATTCATACAATAAACAAACATACACACACCTCAAACTCACACAACACAAGCATACAAACAAACAAAGATTCACACAGCAAACAAACGTTCACACAAGAAACACAAATACACACAATAAAAACACACATACCAGACACACAACACAAACATATACAACAGACACAGATTTACACAATGAACAAACATTTACCCACCAAACAAACACACATGCAACAAAAACATACACAACACACATATACACAAAAATCATACACAACAAACAAACATTCACACACCAAACAAATATACAACAACCACATACATAACAAACGCATACACTACAAACATACACAACAAACAAAGATTCACCAAACAAACAAACATTTACACAACAAACATACTACACAAACAAACATACACATACAACCCATACAAAACAAACATACACAACAAACAAACATTCACACACCAAACAAATATACAACATCCACATACACAACAAACACATATAATACAAACATATACAACAAACAAAGATTCACCAAACAAACAAACATTTACACAACAAACATACTACACAAACAAACATACACATGAAACCCATACAAAACAAACATATACAACAAACAGACAGGCACGAGCCAGAAAGCACAAACACAGTCTACATCCATTCCCTGGACACATATAGATCATAGACTGTCTCAAACTAACGCCAGTAAAAGTCAATACAAGGGACACACAATCTCTGACTTTACCCAATGTTCACAGTCTTAAAAGAACGTTAAACAAAGACTCATTTTTACAGTCTACAAACATTCAACAAGGGCCAATTTTCACAGTCTACAAGCGCCAATCAAGTTTTGAGAAATGTCCCTTTTTGACATCGTCTAATTTGTCAGGCTCTATAAGCATTCAGCTCCGGGGGAAAAGATCAGACAGAAAGGAGAATAACTTGCGGAAGCGAGGCTCGTCCGCTTGGCGGGGTTTTGAGTCCGGGCACCAAAAGACTAGACTAGCCCCCGAGTAGTCGGTAATCAGGCGCGAACATGGCTGGTAGACTCGGGGCGGGAAAAGTCACGACCTCGCTCGGGCAGAAAGTAGTGGACGTGCGGGCTGAGTAGAAGGTGTTCGGTACATAAAAAGAGAGGTTTTAGTTTCATTCTGAGTATGTTTATTTTGTTAATATTTTTGTTTAGGTTTTGTTTCTACAAACTAAGTGGCGCATGTTCTATATATGTCCCCCTTGTGTCGTCGGTGCTATATAAGGTGCGCATAAGTGATCTCAATTTCATCTATACTTTTCTACCCAAGGTATCCCATCTAGTTTATTTTCATTCACTCTCCTTTCTACTGTCCTCCATGTTTCCTTTAAAAAAAAAAAAAAGGAAAACAGGACGACCTAAGGAAAGAAGGACTTGTTTTTATATGAAATAAAACCAAAAACTGCTTGTTTACTCCCTGACATTGACTTTGTGGTTTTTACGGCTTTATTTGTGGGAAAACAAATTTATAGGTACACCTCCACCACCACCCCCCCCCCCCCAAAAAAAAACCAAACCCCATAGGCATACGACCTATTTCACTGTCACTGAAACAGCATGTACTGGGCCGAAAGGTGCACAACGTAATACAACGTGTTGAACATCCGTTTATATGGACGAAGGAGGAGGAGGAGGAGAAGAAGAAGAAGAAGAAGAAGAAGAAGAAGAAGAAGAAGAAGAAGAAGAAGAAGAAGAAGAAGAAGAAGAAGAAGAAGAAGAAGAAGAAGAAGAAGAAGAAGAAGAAGAAGAAGAAGAGAAAAAGAAGAAGAAGAAGAAGAAGAAGAAGAAGAAGAAGAAGAAGAAGAAGAAGAAGAAGAAGAAGAAGAAGAAGAAGAAGAAGAAGAAAACGAAGAAGAAGAAGAAGAAGAAGAAGAAGAAGAAGAAGAAGAAGAAGAAGAAGAAGAAGAAGAAGAAGAAGAAGAAGAAGAAGAAGAAGAAGAAGAAGAAGAAGAAGAAGAAGAAAGAAGAGGACATAGATGAAGAGAAGGACAAGCAGAAGAAGAAGAAAGAAGAAGAGGAGAAATAGAAGCCTGCTTAATTCTGGTACATATTGTGCCGATATTGAACATGTTCAATGCATTGTCATTGACACCCGATGGAGTCCCGGAGATTCTCATATCCATCAGCCTTGTGCCTGACCTTCTGTCCACACGTAAAGAAAAAACAATTCAAGAAATTCCTCCTCATCTAAGAAAACTCACATCTTTGCAGAGCCAAGGCAGTCTAACCTAGTTCTGAGTTCACCAACAGATGTAATGAAGCTATCAAACTGGCATTAAAAATCCAGCACTATGACATCATAAACCCATCACTATGACATCTCAAACTCAGCCCTATGATTTTACAAAATGAGCTGCATGACATCCCACCCAAGGACTGTGGTATCAAGAAACCCAGCACTCTAAGCTGATGTTCTTCTTGCACCATTGGCCGACTGACCATTGGCCGACTGACCATTGGCCGACTGACCATTGGCCGACTGACCATTGGCCGACTGACCATTGGCCGACTGACCATTGGCCGACTGACCATTGGCCGACTGACCATTGGCCGGTTGACCTTATTTACAGAACACTTCCTGGCACCAATTCTGGGCGACGCGGAGAAAACATTTGCAGTAAATTAGGAGAGGAAAAAAAAAAACCCCGTATCTTCTACTCTATTGGGATTCAAATAAAAAACCTTCAAACCAACATGCAAGCACACAAGCCCACTGCGCCATCTGGACTTCTAGGCCTTGAACACTTCTTCCAAGTGATAACAGCTAACGAGAGGTCTTGTTTCACTAGCTGAAATCCCCGAGGCCACACAGGTCTCAAATCTCCGCCATTTTCTCCGCTCGCTAACTATAAATCATGACTGGAGGACATACAGGTATCTCACGACGCCAGGAATCTCAAAGGTAGACATCGGCCTGGTAGGGACGCTAATTGTGCTGCACGAAGCCACGCTACGGAACTCGGCCGGAAGAGCGGGAAATCAATACTGATTATTTTATAATAAAATAAAAAGTCAGATGCCATCAGGCTGAAATGTACGGATCAAACGAGAGATTTGTCATTAGATGACAAATCTGGTCAGAAATGACAAACAGGTAATGGAAAGGGTGAAGCTCCCGTGTCTGCTTATTAAAAGATGAAAGAAGCTCGTATGTTGATGAGTCTTTGCCGGAGATGCAGGCACTAGGTTGCCGTGGGGACAGTGAGCTGGTAAAAACGTCAACTCTTAGGTTACTAGGCTCTGTTCCATTAGGGACGGGGCTTGCGTGGTCACTACAAGAGACTGACTTTGAGAACCAGTCATGTTCTTGGATAAGATGGGAGTTTTGATAATAACTGGAGCATTTGGCGTGTTAATGTGACTAGTGGAAAATTAGGTTTTAACAGGACAAGTGAAAACGAGGTATTCAATAGTAGTAAAAAGTGAAATTCCCTTTACTCTTCTTCCTTAAGTTCATGCCGTGTGGCGTCTGTCCACAACCTTCTGTCCCGTGTACTTTCAATCAATTCTGACACAGATGATCCTCCATGTAATGACGTCCAACCGTCCAGCATCTGTTGCCTCGGTTTTCCCCTGCCTCTCCTC